ACGGGACAGGGGGAGGGAATTGCTACGGAATGTATTCCTTTAAGAAGCGGCAACGATAGGCTTCTGGCTTATTATTATTTCAATGTTCTCAGCACACCCTAGTCACTTTTGGTTCCCCCTCTGTTCCTCCGGACAGTCAAAGCCAACAAAGAAATAAAACCTCGGACACGGTACCTGCCCCAAATATGCTGAGTGAAAGAGATAGCAAAGGATACTATTTTCAAGGAAAAACAAAACAAAACATTCTGAAGAGTGCTTTTTTTTTCATGAAAATAACAACAACAACTACAGTAATTTTTAAAGTGATCATACAGGGTCACCTGGATGGCTCAGGTGCTTGAACACCCAACTCGTGACTTCAGCTCAGGTCGGATCTCGCAGTAGTGGGATTGCGCCCCTCATTGGGCTCCATGTGGAGTGTGGAGCCTGCTTAAGGTTCTCTCTCTCTCTCTCTCTCTCTCTCTCTGACCCAATTAAGATTCTCTCTCGGGGTGCCTGGGTGGCTCAGTCGGTTAAGCATCTGACTTCGGCTCAGGTCATGATCTCACGGTCCGTGAGTTCGAGCCCTGCGTCGGGCTCTGTGCTGACAGCTCGGAGCCTGGAGCCCGCTTTGGATTCCGTGTCTCCCAGTCTCTCTCTCTCTCTCTCTCTCTCTCTCTGCCCCTCCCGCACTTGCACTGTGTGTGTGTCTCTCTCTCTCAAAAATAAGTAAACATTAAAAAATAAATGAATAAAAGAGGGGCTTTGTCAAGTGGTGACTGTGAGATGAACATCTTTAACACAAATGTTCAGTATCATCAGTGCCTGGCTTCAGCCCGGAAATGGAATCGACTTGTTCATTTCCCGGTTTCTATACATCAGCTCAGGCAAGGAAACCTAACAAATGTGAAGTTTCCTGAGCCCGTTCAATCAGCAGGCACAGTAGTTCAGTTACCTGCCCTCCCCCCCACCCCAGCTGCCCCACATTCCTTTAAACCCTGGAGAGCGAAGTGTATCTCTCAAACATCCCACACTGTCCTCCACAGGTGATTCTCTCTTCCCCCCACCCCTCCCCGGCCAAAACAAGTTCAAGACCAATCAAGGGGAGGAAAAAAAGAGGGAGAGGGAAGAATGCCCAGAACATTGAAGGCAATCCAAAGACTAAACAAGAACAAAGCATATAAGCTAAATTTTTAATGAGAAGAAAAAAAACAAATGTTTTCAGTCCTGACTCATTTCTAAACTCTATAAATATTTCCGTGGGTGTGGGGAAGGGGTGCAAAATAATTTCAAAAATATCATAGGAATGGAATTTTTTAAGCCCCATCACCTGAAACTTAGTTAACCTCAAGGCAAACCGTTTTCCAAACGCTTAGCAATTTTTTTTTTCCAACGTTTATTTATTTTTGGGACAGAGAAAGACAGAGCATGAACGGGGGAGGGGCAGAGAGAGAGGGAGACACAGAATCGGAAACAGGCTCCGAGCCATCAGCCCAGAGCCTGACGCGGGGCTCGAACTCACGGACCGCGAGATCGTGACCTGGCTGAAGTCGGACGCTTAACCGACTGCGCCACCCAGGCGCCCCCAAACGCTTAGCAATTTAACTCACTTCCAATTCTAAGTGAAGAAGGTTAGGCAAACACATAGGTGTGGTTCTCTTTTCGAGACAAAGGGATCCCCGGGGCGACCGGGGGGTTCAGCTGATAAAGCGTCAGACTCTTGACCTCAGCTCAGGTCGTGATCTCACGGTTCGTGGGGATCAAGCCCCGTGTCAGTCTCTTTGGCGACAGCGCAGTGCCTCCTTGGGATTCTCTCTCTCCCTCTGCCCTTCCCCACTCGCACACATTCTCTCTCTCTCTCCCTCTCAAAATAAACACATAAACTTAGGTTCTGTAACGTGTCCCCTGGGACATACCCTCGTGGCTGACGGTCCAGCAGCTACCCCCTACGCATCCGATCTTCCCTCTGGCAGAGCGCCTCGAGTATATCTTTTCCGGCTCCCTTGCAGCTAGGACACAGGCATGAGCCACCACCCTGGCTCACTAGATGTGTGGGCTATCTGCGGCTGGTTACTGAGAAAGGTCACCCTAAAAATTCCTCCTCTTCTTGACCTGTCATGGTCATTGCTGCCTGTGACACTTCAGGTTGCGCCAACCATCCTGCAACCGTGAGGAGGGAGCGTCGCTGGGATGCTGGGATGGCAGACGGAGTCACTGGACTTCAGCCCCGATCCCAGCGCCCCCTGCCTCTGGGCTCTGCAGTGTGAGATGCTATGTGTCCTTATCGTCTGAGCCACTTTTCTCTGGGTCTTTGTTCCTTTCTTTTTTTAGCGTATTTATTTATTTTTAATGTTTATTTATTTTTGAGAGAGAGAGAGAGACAGAGTGCAAGCAGGGGAGGGGCAGAGAGAGAGGGAGACACAAAATCCGAAGCAGGCTCCGGGCTCTGAGCTGTCGGCACAGAGCCCGACGCGGGGCTCGAACTCACGAACCGCGAGATCATGACCTGAGCTGAAGTCGGACGCTTAACCGACTGAGCCACCCAGGCACCCACAAAGAGTGGATTTTAAAATAATTTATCAAGATAAATGCTAGGAAAGGAGCTACGATGACGACCTTAAAGCAGGTCCACAGTCTTTAATTGGCAAATCCGGAATAAAAAAAGCCAAAAGCTTTTTCATAACTCATCTGATGACAATCCTCACTCAAGCCTACTTATAATCTCTATTTATCACACCAAGTGTGATTATTCGTATCTATCACAGCAGAACTATAATGTTACATGATATATGATATGTTTGCTGTAGTTCCTTTCTAAATTCTAAAAAAATTTGGAATCCCAAACACATTTGGCTTCAAAGGTTTTGGATAATGAGTTGTGGATCTAATTTTGGGAAATTAGTTGTTTAATAAGACAAAATAGGAAAAATAAAAGGTGTAAGGACTGGAAAGGAAGAAATAAAATTGCCATTAGCCACAGATTATATGATTAACTACATACCATAGATAAAAGAATCCACCAACAAATGATTAGAATTAAGAGTTAACATGATAATTGGATATAAAATCAATGTACAGAACCCAACTGCTTTTCTATATACTAGCAACAAACAAAAAACTAAAGTTTGGAAACGGTATCATTTAGAAGAGCATGAAAAAACTACAAGCAGATAGAAATAAACTTAATAAAAGATCTGCAAGACCACTGTGGAGAACATGATAAATACTTATTAAAAGACATTAAAGAAAACTGGAAAAAAATTGAGAGATATAAGCCATGTTCAAAATGGGAAGGTTATCTACTGTTAAGTAGAGCAATTCTCCAAATTATCTACAGATTCCAACTTAATTAATTATAAATCCACAAGTAAGTGGGGCGCCTGGGTGGCTCAGTTGGTTGAGTGTCCGACTTCGGCGCAGGTCCATGATCTTGCGGTTCATGAGTTCAAGCCCCGCGTCAGGCTCTGTGCTGATGGCTCAGAGCCTGGAGCCTGCTTCGGATTCCGTGTCTCCCTCTCTCTCTGCCCCTCCCCTGCTCATGCTCTGTCTCTCTCTGTCTCTCAACCATAGATAAACGTTAAAAAAAATTTTTTTAAATAAAAAATAAATCCAAAAGTCATTAATTATACATTCAATCAATTCAACTTTATAAAGTCCCGGCAAGTTTCTGGAGAACGTAACTCGGAGATTGAAATGGAGTTGCAGAGGTCAAACAACAGCCAAAACGGGCTTGAAGAGCATAGTGGGGGGAATACCCAGATGGTACTGACTGATTATAAAGTTAATGAAGAAGCTGTGGGGTATGGAGCAGGGACAGAAAAATAAGGAAACGCAAAGAACAGCGGAGGCCCATGAAAAAACAAGTTTGTACGGGGAAAGAGGAAGTCATACAGAAAACACAAAGAACCTAATGGCTGAGGACCTGGGGGTCTGGAGCTAGAACGGCTTGGTTTGAACTCTGGCCCTGTGACAGGCCACCTACGTCACATGCAGCAAGCTACTTAACCTTCGTCTTTCTTTCTTTCTTTTTTTTAATTTTTTGAATGTTTATTTATTTTTGAAGAAGAGACAGACCGTGAGCAGGGGAGGAGCCGAGAGAAAGGGAGACACAGAATCCAAAGCGGGCTCCAGGCTCCAAGCCGTCAGCACAGAGCCCGACGCAGGGCTCGAACCCACAGACCGCGAGATCGTGACCTGAGCCGAAGTCGGACGCCCAACCGACCGAGCCACCCAGGCGTCCTCTGTGTTCCTGTTTCTTATCTAAAAAATGGGGATAAAAGCAGGATCTATTTCCAGGGGTTCCGTAAGGATGAAATGTTACCTTCTGCTGGGAACACTGGTTGGCCCATGGTAAGTAAGCCCTTGGTAAGTGTTCACCATGACCACCATCATCATCGGCCAAGGGGAAAAGAACAGACCGTTCAATAAAAAATGCTAGAAGAGGGGCGCCTGGCTGGCTCAGTTGGTGGGTCGTGCGACTTTTGATCTCAGGGTTGTGAGCTCGAGCCCCACGTTGGGTGTAGAGATTACTTAAAAATAAAATCTTAAAAAAAAAAAAAAAATGGTGCTGGGATGATTGAATATCTACTGGAAAAAAACGAAATCAAATCTTTCTTTCTTTCTTTTTACAACTGGAACCCCACTTTTTAAACCTCTATTTCTGACAATATACAAAAACTAGTTCAAGATAGACTAAGGATGTAAAAATGCAAAAGGGAAGACCGTAGAGGAAAAAAAACATAAACTTGACTGTATAAAAACTAAAAAGTTTTGGTCACGAAAAGAGAAGTGAAACGATAAAAGGTGAAGTAGAAGATTTTACAACACACATGACCAACAGAGGATTAGTACCTACAACACAGAAAGAATGCCTTCAAACTCGTTTCTTTCAAACATGAACTAACTCAATAGGAAAAGAGACAAAGATAAGAATTTTAAACAGGAAGTGATAGTTAGCCTTATTAGTAACCGGAAGGCACATTAAACTACAAAGAAGGGCGCGTGGGTGGCTCAGTGGGTGGAGCATCTGACTCCTGATTTCGGCTCAGGTCACGATCCCAAGGGCAGGGGATTGAGCCCCGCATCGGGCTCCAGGTCGAGCCTAGTAGAGCCTGCTTAGGATTCTCTCCCTCTCTCCCTCTCCGCCCCTCTCCTCCACTCGCACCCTCTCTGAAAACAAAGCAAAACAACAACAACAAAAAACGACAATGAGATACCATTTCACACCCACCAGTGGCAAAAATTTAGCCAGAAAACTTACCCAGTGTTCATAACGCATTGCAATGAGAAGGGTCATACACCACTGGAGACCTTGGAAAACAAATCAGCTCTGCCGAGTAAAGGTGAACTTGTGCCTCTGCCTAACCTAGGTACTCCTCCTCTCTCTATACATATTAAGGTCAAGGAACGAGACAGTAAACTCTTGCTGATATGCCCAAAGACACATAAGTAAGAATGTAGACCGCAGCGTAATCATAGCAAAATACTGGAAACAACTCAATTGCCTATCTCATTCCATTTCTATAAAGTCACCAAACAGGCAAAACCAAACAATAGAGTTTACTAATGCGATCAAAGTGACGACCAAAAAAAAAAAAAAAAAAAAAAAAAAAAAAAAAAAAAAAAAAAACCTATAAAGAAAAACAAGGGAATCTAGTTTAATACAAAACTCTGGGTATTATTTAATTAGGGAGAAGGATGTAATCAGAGTAAGGCCATAGGGAGCTTCTGGGGCAGAATAATGTTCTGTATCTTTACCTGGGGGAATGTAAGGGGTATTCATTTTACTGCTATTTTTTTTTTTAATTTTAATGTTTATTTATTTTTGAGAGACAGACAGATACAGCATGAGAAGGGGAGGGGCAGAGAGAGAGGGAGACACAGAATCTGAAACAGACTCCAGGCTCCGAGCTGTCAGCACAGAGCCCGACGCGGGGCTCGAACCCACGAACCGTGAGATCACGACCTGAGCCGAAGTCAGAGGCTTAACCCACTGAGCCACCCAGGCACCCCTACTGCTATTTTTGTATATGTCATTCTATACTTACACGTTTCCATACGTTCTTTGGTAATATGCCATAATTAACACTCAGTTGTTAGTTTGTAATTGGGTTGGTATGAAAACCTTCGGTGTAAGAGAAACTTAAGACCACGGGAGCCTCTGCCAACTGGAGGTCAAAAATGAAGAGAAAACATTTGTGAAAGCAAAGATGAACTCAACAGGAAAATCTATTACATAAAGTATTGAACTATTACTTTTTCCTTGATGGATGGACTTCCTGTTTTGCTCCCATATAAAGTACAAAACGTTCCTCAGAAAATGGGCCTCGCTTAATACCCAAGTATGGATTGATTATTGATTGTTAAAGACTTCACACTTGGGGCAAAAACTTCTTCAAAAAATTCCAGGACTATTACTGTCCGAAGCCAAAAATATGTGTCACAAATCACCACAGAAATATAGCAGATACTTTCCCTCAGGTAAAATGTTTACGAAGGTTAAGAGAACACAGAATACGACGGTAAGCAACAATCACACTTACCCAGTCATTCATCCAACAATATTTTACTGAGCACCTAGTATGTGTCAAACCCTAGTCTAGGAACTAAGGACACAGCACGAAACAAAAGACAGGAATTTATTCTCACGGAGCTTACCTACCAGATCTTTGCTGTACAAAGCTATAAAGAAATTTCAGAAAGATCAGTTTCTGTTCCCATGAGAAGAACTACTAGGTCTTCAGATAGGAACGCTTTTAAAATTTTTTTTTTTCAACGTTTATTTATTTTTGGGACAGAGAGAGACAGAGGCATGAATGGGGAGGGGCAAGAGAGAGGGAGACACAGAATCAGAACAGGCTCCAGGCTCACGGTTATCAGCCCAGAGCCCGACAAGAGGCTCAACTCACCGGATCTCGAGATCGCAGGACCTGGCTAGAAGTTCGATCGCTTAACCTGTTAATCACCCAGCTCTAGGAACGCGTAAGCACTCGTATTCCGCTCACAGAGGCTTTTGACAGTCAAAATATTTAACAATTATTAACAGACTCTCCATCAGAAAGAGGCTGGCAGCTGAATGCTGGGGAGGCATCCGGGCGTGCAACAAATTTTAAGGTATGTCGCGTTGTAAGAGCGCTCGACTTGCAAGGAACGATCTTTGAACCGGTCAGGTTCGCAGCTCTTGCTGGGTTCATGATGGTCTTAGAGCTGATCTGATTTCGTTCTCCCATTCTCCCTGTCTTCCATGCCTCCTGTCTCTCGTGACTCTGTCCCAAAACAAATAAACGAAACGAAAAATAAATAAAAAAAAGAAAAAAGAAAAATATTGCTCACAGAACCCAAATATACCATTTGTAAACCTAAACCAACCAACAAAAAAGGGAGAGGAAGAGAAGCTGTGTTGCCATTGATAAGCAACTTGCTTTATTTTTAAATTTTTTTTTTTCTAAAATTATTCACTTTTTGGGACAAGAGAGAGACAGAGTCATGAACGGGGAGGGGCAGAGAGAGAGAGGAGACACAACGAATAGGTCTTCAGGCTCTGAGCTCAGCCTGAGAGCTCTGACCGCTAATCCCGACCAGTCCGTGATCGCGCCTGGCTGAGTTCGACGCTACACCCAATCTATGCCACCAAGAAGTTTCCTGTCTTGCTTTTATTTATCAGTTCCTTTCATATTTGGGAAATGAACCTTGGCAGGAATGGTCATTAGCCTTTGGAATTTCCTCTTGTAACCCTTCTCTCTCTCTTTTTGAAAATCTCTTATTTAGATATTTTTTAAAATAATCTCTACCCCCTCACCGCAATTTCGCCACGCGGGGCCTAAACTCGATCCAAATTCAAGAGTCATGATGTTACTGACAGCCAGCCAGGCACCCTTGTAAACTTTCTCCTCTTAAACCTTATGCATTTATCTTATTAGAACTTGTATTTGGGGCACCGTGGATCAGAGGTTGAGCCGTCCAGCGCTCAGGGTCATGATCCCACGGTTCATGGGTTCAAGCCCCGCATCAGGCCCTGTGTTGACGGCTCGGAGCCTGGAACCTGCTTCTGATTCTGTGTCTCCCTCTCTCTCAGCCCCTCCCCTGCTTATGCTCTGTCTCTCTCTACCTCTCTCTCTCTCTCAGAAATAAACATTAAAAAACCGTTTTTTAAAGAAACTTTGTATTTACCTTAGATTTTGCATAAGCCCTTCGTATAACCAAGACTGTCATACTAATTCTGTCATATTTGGTATAAATGTTGTTCCTAGTTTGATTAATTTTAAATTTATGTACGCTTTAAGTACACAAAGCGCTGGGGAAGACAAGCGCGAGCAACAGAAGATTATCGATCTCGCTCTTACGGAGCTAGTGAAGAGGTCATTTACGAAAAGCACACACTCACACGAAACTTTACATATGTAAGATAATAATTTTTTTTTCTTCTAATCATTCCATTAGGAGCTCTCAAGTTCCCAAGATCGGGTGCAAAAATGTTAAAAAAATAATAATAATAATTCTGGTACAGGCTACCTTCCCTAAGCTGTTGCCAAAAAATGTGAGATAATTAAATGTTTAGTTACCTATAATCCGAGTGCAAATGTTTTGCTCTCATTAATTACACACAGTAGTGAGGTCTCCGGACAGCCAGAAGCTATTCAAGATGTAAAAATCACCATGAATAGATATTTCCAAAAAAAAAAACCCCTCTATTTGGCTGTATTTGGGAGTGGTTGTAAATTATTTCAGCTTAAAAAAGAAATGATTTCAGCTTCATCTTATTTCAATGTTTTGAGCTATTTCTGTGTTACAGATTTATTTTGGGCAAACACTCATGTAAGCACCACACGCAGCATTCTACGCTTTGCAAACAACCCAAAACGACGGGGCGCCTGGGTGGCTCAGCCCGTTGGGCGTCCGACTCTTGATTTCCGCTCCGGTTATGACCTTACGGTTGGCGAGATCGAGTCCCGCATCAGGCCCCGCACTGACAGTGCAGTGCCTGCTCGGGATTCTCTCTCCCCACCCTTCCCCCCATCTCAAAATAAATAAGTAAACTTAAAACCAACATGAGTAAACCGAACACGTACAGCAGCGCGGGTCACACTAGGCACTTTTCCGCGGGGTGGGGGGAGCAGAGCATGAGGCCCAAGGGTCAGACTGCCCGGCTCCAACCAACACTCTCACCCCACCAGCCACGAGAAGTCACTTTGTTCACTTCTGTGTTAGTTTCCTAACCCAGAAGTGAAAACAGTAAATAATACCACGTTCAATGCCACTGAACTATACAAAATTGTCAAAATGCCAAATTTTGTATTTTACCACTATTAAAAAAAAAAAGTTTTGGGGGAAAAAGAAGAATATTGATAGAAGCCAGGAAGGTCACCTTGGCCAGACCACCTAGGGCCACGCCG